AATTATTGCTCTCTCTTTCATAGATACTACTGCTAAAGGATAGTTTTCAAAATGGTAAAAGCATGGCTCATACAGATAGAGAATGAACATATGTTTATTTAAATCATGAATTAAGGCGGAAACTAGCAGGATTTTAACTGTTTCAAATGGAATTGTACTTATAAAACTGCCTTTGCAAAATTATGACTGAGACAGAGAAAGAGATCTCACTTAACAGACTCCATTTTGCTTCTAACCTCCAAGCTGTCCTTGTTCATTCCTGGGTGTAGGCCAAACTAACTGTGGGAGAAACTTAGTTTATAGTTTAAACAAAGACAGCCCTTTCCCAAAGTAGACCTCCTTCTTGCCTGGGGACTAGATTGCCTTTGTAGGACTAACATTAGCCAGATTACAGAGTGGCTCACGCCTGTAATCCCAGCATTTAGGGAGGCCAAGGTGAGCGGATCAACTGAGGTCAGGAGTTCGAGACCAGCCTGATCAACATGAAGAAACCCTGTCTCTTCTAAAATTACAAAATTAGCCAAGTGTGGTGGCACATGCCTGTAATCGCAGCTACTTGGGAGGCTAAGGCAGGAAAATGGCTTGAACCTGGCAGGTGGAGGTTGTGGTGAGCCAAGATCATGCCATTGCACTCCAGTCTGGGTGACAAGAGCAAAACTCTGTCTCAAATAATAATAATTATTCTGCGGCCAGGCAAGGTGGCTCACACCTGTAATCCCAACACTTTGGGAGGCTGAGGCGGGTGGATCACAAGGTCAGGAGTTCGAGCCTGACCAATATGGTGAAACCTCGTCTCTACTAAAAATACAAAAATTAGCCGGGTGTGGTGGTACACACCTGTAGTCCCAGCTACTAGGGAGGCTGAGGCAGGAGAATCACTTGAACCCAGGAAGCAGAGGTTGCAGGAGCTGACATCACGCCATTGCACTCCAGCCTGGGTGACAGAGGGAGACTCCATCTCAATAAATAAATAAATAAAAATTCTGCTTCCTGAGTGCTTGGGGAGACTGATTTGAGTAATAATGTAACTCCAGTCTCCAGCACAGCCAGCTCTGCGTGAATTACTCTTTCTCTATTTCAATTCCCCTGTCTTGATGAATTGGTTCTGTCTAGGCAGCAGGCAAGGTGAACCCCTTTGGCAGTTACACTTAACAAAGATTTGTTCTGTACTGGACAAAATTAATTTATTTGGATTGCCATGAAGAGACATTATTTATAACCTGCATTGGGCTCTAGACAGAAAACATCTGTCCGTCATCTGCCCTCCCCATTAACTTCCATTTCTACAGAGTTGTAAAACAGTCCAGCACTTTTGCAGCATAGAATCAGATAACCTGGAACTCTAAATAACACACACCATTCCATTTAAAGGACACCCAGTAATTCTTTGCCCATTTAAAAGTCTCTTACAATTTTTCCTAGCACAGCAGTGCCTTGTACATGTTAGTTTGCTCTTTGAAATCCGTGCCAAACTGAGCTTCTTGAGATGAGAGGGAACCGCACACAAGGTGAGACATACCGTTTGATTTTAGGGTCTGGGGAGGTGACATTTCAACCAGGTAGAGAAAGGTAATGCTGCGTTTCTCCTGGAGAAAAGCATCCAGAGAGAGCTATGTAGGCACCATGGTAGAACTGACAGTCAAGCATTGTTAAACACAGACTGTGTGCCAGGCCCTGGGCTAGGTTAAGAGGATAAAAAGCTGAATAAAGCCTGGTTTCTAGTTTTAAGAAGCTTTCAGTCTGTTGGTGGCATGAAAAGGAAATAAGTGCTTACAACAGAGCGTGATGGGGACCCTGAAAGTCCACAGGCCAAATTTTGAAAACTCAAGTGAACCATGGCAGAGTGTTTTCCAAGCCCAGGTCTGATGAAGGGCAGAAAACAGATCTTAGTGGGCTTGTGGGCTACTGTATAGGAAAAGCAAATTATTTTTCTCTATTCTCATACTCAACATAAAATATTCCAGTGATCAAATGTGTAAGGATTTTTCTCCACATCAAGCAATTCTCCAATTTTCTGAAGACACCAACTGAGAGTCTTACAGCTAAACTCAACTCTGATGCTAAGTAACCAGGTATAGTGTCAGATCACACAGATTAAAGAGTCAGTTCCACACGTTCACATGCCAACGGCAAATAGTAAATCCTGAGATTACTCACAACTTCTGTCCAATTTAGTTACAGATTAGAGGTTTTCATGACCCCTTTCTTGGGTTCAGTCACTTGCTAGAGTAGCTCACAGAATTAAGGTAAACGCTTTACTTACATTGACCCACTTATTATAAAGGCGTTACATAAAATGTATGGGAAGCCGTTGTTTTGGACTGAGCTCCTGCACTAGGCCCCAACAGAATAAATCAAAATGGAGTCACTACGCTAAGTGTCATGCAATCAAGCTGAAACTGTAGGAAGCAGAAAAATTCCCCATTAGACCAATTTTTCCTAAAATCAGAAGATTCACAGCAACCAATTCAGAAGAGGCCCAGTCCACCTGAACCGGCATGTTAAGGAAGTCTCCTGCTTTAACCCTTACAAGGAAAGTAACCTGATGTTAACAACCTGCTTTGTTATGCTTTTCCTCACTCCTGCTCTAGCTATCTGACCAAAACCTACTGTTTTGCCATCCTAGCAGAGCGCTTACCTATTCTTTAGATAAAATGCTGTCTGATTTAAGAATTGCTAATAAAAACCAGCTCGATCTTTAGAGTAAATTTGTTGAAATTTTGTGTTTTGACAGTTCTGATGACCATGAAGGGACTTGAAGAAGACTGCTGATGACCCTGAGGCTCTTGAAGGACGCAGATGAGGTGCTCCTTCCTCCTTTAGAGTCCCCTGCCTTCCTCACAGTGCTCCCAATGTCATGAGTTAGTTCCCAGCAGGGCCAGCCCTTTGTATTTGAGCTCCTGATAATTTTGGCTTTAGGGTACCAAGGGTTGCCTTGTGGCAGAGCAAATGACCTCTGGGACTTCTGGTGACCGATGCATCACTACCAAAGAATCACAGTTTTAAAGAAAACGGACAGTGACTGCAGCAAGTGACAGTTACTGCAGAGGGTGTTAGACATTATTTTTCAGAAATTTACAGGGATTTGGGTTCTCTCCTCTTTCTTTCATTTTCTCGCACGTTAAGGAGGGGAAAGATCATTGGCTATGTTGGCCATGTAATCTTGGTGCCAAACCACAACTTAATTGATGGGTATGGGAAGCGCACCTAAAAGCTGTTAGAGCACCTACCACCTAAGTATATGACTACTAAAAGGATAAGCTGGTCATGCAACAGGTTAGTTTGACACTAGATTACCCACGAGCTTTAAGAAGATTTCCTTGCAACCAGAAACATGGAAAACATCACATGACCCGACCTCATAGGCTTTTATTTCAGCTCTCATACTGAGAAAATAGGCAACTCATCTGAGAAACCCAATATGCTAAACATCTGAGTGCTCCACTTTCCAGTATGCCTGCCTTTTCTATGTACAAAAATTATATCCCTGGAAGCTATAAATTATAACAAAAATTATGATTTTTTTTTAACAGTCTCATTCTGTCACCCAAGCTGGAGTGCAGTGGCATGATAATCTCTCACTGCAGCCTTGACTTCCAAGGCTCAAATGATCCTTCCACCTCAGACTCCTGAGTAGCTAGGACCACAAGTGCACACCATCACACCTGGCTAATTTTAAAACATTTTTTGTAGAGATAGAGTCTCACCATGTTGCCCAGGCTGGTCTCGAACTCCTGGGCTCAAGCAATCATCCTGCCTCACCCTCCCAAAGTGCTGGGATTACAGGCATGAACAACTGTGCCTGGCTGAAAAGTGGTGGTATTTTATCAAATACAATTTAGAATTACAGGGGACATTATAGAGAACATTCCAGATAGACAAGATTATCCATCTAAGAAGCACATTTGAAAGTAAGGACTCCCAAATTAGACAAACAAATGAGATGCCTATTTTCGATATGCTGAAGCCTCTAACCAGAGTTTAGGTTTCAAAAAATTGCTTCTCTAAAAGTCTCCTCTAAAAAGCCAAATGAGGCCAGGCGTGGTGGCTCACACCTGTAATCCCAGCATTTTGGGAGGCCAAGGCGGGTGGATCACAAGGTCAAGAGATCGAGACCATCCTGGCCAACATAGTGAAACCTCGTCTCTGCTAAAATACAAAAAAACATTAGCTGGGTGTGGTGGCGCACGCCTGTAGTCCCAGCTACTCGAGAGACTGAGACAGGAGAACTGCTTGAACCCGGGAGGCGGAGGTTGCAGTGAGCCAAGATTGCGCCATTGCACTCCAGCCTGGGTAACAAGAGCGAAACTCTGTCTCAAAAGAAAAAAAAATAAAAATAAAAATTGAATCTGCTAACTTGTTTACTTAGTTACCATCCTACCTCATGGTTGAAAAGAAACCTAGAAAAACTGTTTATAAAAGTGAAGCCCTCATTTAAAAAAAAAAAAAAAAAAGTTAATCCCTCATCCTGGCACAGTGGCTCATGCCTGTAATCTCAGCATTTTGGGAGGCCAAGGTAGGCAGATCACCTGAGGTTAGAAATTCAAGAGCAGCCTGATCAACATGGAGAACCCCCATCTCTACTAAAAATATAAAATTAGCCAGGTGTGGTGGTGCGTGCCTGTAGTCCCAGCCACTTGGGAGGCTGAAGCAGGAGAATCGCTTGAACACGGGAGGTAGAAGTGCCCTGAGCCGAGATTGCACCACTGCACTCCAGCCTGGCAACAAGAGCAAAACTCCATCTCCAAAAAAAAAAAAATTAATCCCTCAAGTCAATCAGATTTGCTTCTTTAACCACATTTATGCCCTAGTCAAATTGGCTCAGAGCTATCTATGCTGAGCCTAGACATAGAAAATGTTTTGTCTTGCTGGGCGCGGTGGCTCACGCCTGTAATCCCAACACTTTGGGAGGCTGAGGCAGTGGATCATTTGAGGTCAGGAGTTCAAGACCAGCCTGGTCAACATGGTGAAACCTCGTTTTTTAAAAAAAAGAAGCTGTTCTGAGGCACCGCTGGGAGCTGCCATGTCCGAGACCTGGAGCAACCACTGCCTCAGTCATGGTGTCAGTAATTAACACTGTGGACACCTCCCATGAGGACATGATTCATGATGCCCAGATGGACTAGTGTGGCACCAGCCTGGCAGCCTGCTCATCAGACAGGTCCATCAAAATCTTTGATGTACACAATGGAGGGCAGATCCTTATCACCAGCCTCAGGGGTAATGAGGGTCCTTTGTGGCAAGTAGTGTGGGCTCACCCCATGTACAGCAACATCCTGGCATCGTGCTCCTATGACCGGAAAGTCATTATCTGGAGAGAGGAGAATGGCACCTGGGAGAAGAGCCACGAGTACGTGGGACACAACTCCTCAGTGAACTCGGTGTGCTGGGCCCCCCATGACTACAGCCTGATCCTGGCCTGTGGGAGCTCGGATGGGGCCATCTCCCTGCTGACTTACACCAGGGAAGGCCAACGGGAAGTAAAGATCAACAATGCTCACACCATTGGCTGCATTGCCGTCAGCTGGGCCCCTGCTGTTGCACCTGGAAGCCTCATAGACCAGCCATTGGGGCAGAAACCCAATTACATCAAGAAGTTTGCATTAGGTGGCTGTGACAACCCCATCAAGCTGTGGAAGTATGCTAACCTACCCTGTGTTAGCCTGACAGACTCCATCTTGCTGAAAGCCAGACAGACTCTGTCTTAACCTCTGCCTCACCCCTCCCACCATTTCTCCCTTAAGTGCATATCTCAGTCATGCTACTGTGCTGGGTCATGTGGTACTCAGAACTATAGAAACATATAACCTTTGTAACCGTATCCTGCTTGACAAGCCCACTTGCTATTGTGAATACCTCTTGATTGATTGTATGACAAGTACCCAATACTCTCCTTGGTAACCCCCAATCATGGGAACTGTGTGTGTATACCCTCCTTGGTAATCAACAATCATGAGAACCTCCTGCCTTCTAGTTACCAGCTTCCTTATCTAACTTGCTTGTTCTGCTTCTGAAAATTCTGCTTCAGTGAGGCTCTCCCTCCCCTACCTTAAGCAAGGTATAAAAAGGAATCCAGCCCCTTCCTCAGGGCCGAGAGAATTTTGAGCTTGAGCTATCTCTCAGTCGCCGGCTAATAAAGGACTCTTTTT